AAAACATTTTAATTTCCTGACTTATTATAGACTACCTACTTAATAATTTAATTGATCTACTTAATTGATTGTTTATCTTTTTTATTACTTATTTACGAAGATTTCGATAAAATTAGCATCATTAAAAAAAATGGTGTATATTTTACTAAAAAAATTTCGAATTCCAAAATTGGTGTAGTAAATGTATGCGGTAAGGTAAAGAGTACACTAGAGGTTAAATGCTAGATTCAATGCTAAGCTATTTGTAAAGTGGATATCTGTGAATATGATTATAATTATGACTTCTGCATCGAGGATGTCTATGTCATAAGCAATAAAAATAACATACTAATATGTTTTCTACTGAAAATTTGCATGTTACAAATGGAGGTTGCGTCGATTAAGTTGTAAATTTATGTTCAATTAATAATAATTTAGTCGTAATTGCATTTATAGAATTTTCAATTACCTACGCATCTCCGTTCATAGGTATGGCCCGATGTTCATCTGTGTAGGTGTGCATAACACATAATAGGTAATCATAATACAAAGTCTCAGTTATCGGGCATGGCCAAGCATGTGACTACATTAAATGTGAATCTAAAATAAGTGACATTTTCGACGTTATTGGATCTACAAGGCAATCAATTTATTTAAAAAAGAGCAAAAGTCTGACCTATGACATAACACCTGTATATAAAAAAAGCTCTACATATCTTGTCTGTCCATATTAATCTTTCAAGAACAATGCAAAAATGGACATATTTGGAATATGCAGATGATACATGCATTTTGAGGAAGTTGTTTTGTAACAAGTTATATTATATTCAGTATCAGAATTATGTGAATCAATGATTGAGTTACTCTAAGAACGGGTAGCGAATATATGAATATACTTCAAAGCATTTTTGGTATAAATAGTTTGTCTAATTTATGAGGGCCGCTTCAATAATGATGGACGTTCGATATTAATTAACTACTGTCATCCAAGACACAGTAGAATGTACCTATTATTCAAATTACCCCAATTTATGAATTTTAACTTGATTTAACGGGTTACGTAACCATCGACGACTATAAACATAAAATTTTAATGTCAATAAATTGATGAGAGCATTTTCATTGACCTAACCGGATCTTATGTTTTAAAAATAATATCAGTATTTCAAGTATTATTTGTTAATAAAAATAGACCAATGTTGCACAAACGTGCCAAAATTCAACATAGGGAAAAATGTGAAAGATAGAAACTTTTATGTATAATTCAATAAACAGCGTGTAATTGGGCCAAAATGAAAAACTATTCATTCCAGATGAATTTGTTAAGTCAATTGCAAGGCCAAATGCTCATTTCTACCATAATAAAACAAAACAACAAAGAGGTTTCTTGAGAGCCTTATTGAAAAAATATTTTATTACCATAATAGCCCAATTATACCGTTCGTAAGCGGCTATTACTGGGTATTCGCTAATAAATGACTATAAAAGCTACTACTGTTTACGTATCATTAAGAATATTAAAGATAAATGATTGAAAGTTGAACTTTTGGTTTACGGCTTAAAATTATAAATCATCAATTTGACCAATTTTTGTTAGAAAAGAGTAGTAATTAATGTTTATAGTGGCATTTTCGAACTGGTTGTAGTCTATAGTTAGAGAAAAAACTTACTATACGACCGAGTTTTAAATTGTAGATACTTTTAATTATTTGAAGCTCAGTCAGATTTGATTGCATTTTTTTTCTTATTGTTTATACTAAACTTTTTTTGAGGTGGGAATATCATCCAATATCTTCTCCAGCCTTGGGTAAGGTGAGATGTTAGTGTCAGACTCTTACTGACTAAAAACCACTCCGTTCCTAATTTTGCTCTTCGAGCCGGAGCCGCTTCAATCCGCATGTCCTATGCGGCTCCGTATCGCCGTCAGCTTTACCCCATCAGTGGTAGTTTGAAACCACACTTGATTCTATTATTAAATCAGGTAGTTCATATAACTGGATCAAATTTCAACAGCAACATAATGGATGATGGCATTGGCCTCGGAAATGCTGAGGTGGTATATGTTTGGTCATCTGTATTACAATATTGTGATTCGGATCTTATTGAAGAATAACATTAATTAATATACAAAAAACGATTCTCAAAGTGGGACAGATTTTTTCTAAATATATTTGGTAGATACATATTTGTATTGTATTTTATACAACAAATATAAAAAAGGAAAGTTTAGGTCAATTTTGTAGCGTTTTTCTTTTTTTTGTGAACCACAGGGTCTTGTTAGACCGGAGCTGCGGAAGACTTAACGGGTTGCCGGGGCTCCGGCTCGAAGTGCAGGAATAGGAACGGGGTGGATTTTAGTCAGTAAGAGTCTGACACTCCCTCTCGCCTCACCCGGGCGAGAAAAGTCATTCGATGACTTTCCCCCTCAAAAAAAAAGTGTCTTGTTAGATGGAGGTTTATAGTTATTACGATATTTATTAATTTCATTTGTTTTCTGGTTTTTTAAAACTAATATTAGACTTAAAACAAATTAGGTAGGTACTTTATTTAAGAAAAACAAAAAAAAAGTACTGAAACTGAAAGATATACAACAACGTTATAGTAAGCAGTTACAACCGAAAAATGGCGCAGTAGGTACAGAGCTGCGATTCTTTCATTTATTATGAATATTAAAAAAAAAATCATGAAAAATTTTGTAATGAATATTGGTATATTTAGTAATCCTTGATGTATTCTTAAATTTGAGGCTCACATGGTGAGTATTGTGAAAAATGACGTCATTCTGGATACCGTCATTTCTGAAAAAATACATCAAAAGAAATGAGCAGAAATGTGCATGTTACTACGCTCCATAAAGGTCGAAATAAAATAACTGATCTACTTTCAAAATCTTTGTATTGTTGTCGATTGCCCAAACCTGGTTCAATTGGATTGAGATTAATTCGATTTTAAGCTGGGAGAGTCATGCTTCGGCACGAATGGGCCGGTTCGACCAGAGTGATGCCACGGCTTCAAAGAAAACCAACGTGAAACAACGCTTGCGTTGTGTTTGTCGTCAGAGTGAGTTTACCGGTGGCCCAATTCCCCTCACACCTTCCCAATGTCCCCAATCCCTGAATCGCCAACAATCTTCAAATTTTGATCCCCAAAGGCCTTAACGCACTTATAACGCCTCTGGTGTTCCAGGTGTCCAAGGGCGACCCCGATTGCTTACCATCAGGTAAGTACATCGTACCTACGTACTTCTGTTCGTACTTCTGTTCTAATAAAAAAAGATTAGTTGTTAATTTTGACCGTAACTTAGGCCGCTATTACATTCAAATATTTAAGCCGGTGTGTCAACTAAATCCACGGTTGTCTGTGTGAGGATGTGTAGTAATATAATTTGAGTACCTACAGTAGTGAGGAGGTACAACACTTCATGTGGGCAGCAGTACCAGTGTAATTGCTTATCATTAGTCTAATTGTTACAAGCTTGTAATCATAAGGTCAAAGCTACTTAAAATCATCACCATAACTAACTGTTCTGATGTAACATGTAGATATAATATCTAGTTAGACTGGCTATCATGACATAGTTTGGAAATGGCACGGCCTCATACTTGGCGTTGAGTACCATACCAGTACCATCAGAATCCTATAAATATTTGATACAAAATGTATATTATCTGTTCTCCATATAAGTCTCTTGAGATATCGTCATCGTAAAGTGTCTACATGTTAAATATTATGGACTAAAAGGGTTTAGGTTTTAAATTACCATATACACATATCACAAAAGTTTATTAATCCTGAAGTCATTAGTTTATTGTTTTCATTCATTTTCCCTTGATTGTAATGACTGTGTTTCAGCTATGGGAATAAATTTTCTTATAAACTCGTGATCCTGTATGGAAGAATCATTTTTGCATTGTAGAGTGTTTTTTTACTTCTTTACGATTTTGGTTTTGTAATTTAGGATCAGTTTGTACGTAGTACTTATTTATGTAATATTTTTGTTTATTTTCTTGAAGGTAAGTAGTTATTAATGTGATATATTTTTTTAAATTCAATTTCTGTATTTTGCAATAGTTTTTACAAAAATATGGTATTTTTTATTAAGTCTTTTTAATAACTTTCATAAAAAAAATTGCCGTGAATAATCTAAATAGTTTTCAATGCTACAATATTATTACGAAATTAGTTCTAAATGCCAAGCTTTTTCGGTGCGATCACACCTACAAATTTACACCTTTGAAGTGTGAATGGCTATTCCACAAAGTTTATATTTTTAATTGCATGATATTTAAAACTTAAGCATTAATATTATTATATACAATAGAATCTTATAAAATATGGATTTGTTGCTTTTAAAGCTAGTAAATCAATGAAAGCTTTACCAATAGAAGTCTCTAAATGCCGAAAAAGCCTCTACTGGGCTGTTCACTTCACTGAACGGCAAAACATTGTCTAATATTTATCCATTCATACATGAGGTTACAATATTTATTTACGTACCTAACCGTAACCGTAACGATCACCATAATTGTAATTTATAACCGAAAACTAATTTATGTTATAAGTTTCGTGAGGCATACTAAATTAATTCTTATGTTTTTCGGCTTACTCACGTAATTATTTGACAAGAAACTCGACTAGTTTCAAGCACTGAACTAATGAGTAATTTTACAAGTAAAATTAAAAAGCTCGCTATATTCTGAGATAATAAAGCCTATAGTATCATATTGGCTTATATTTAGTTCTGTTTATCAATAAGCTTGTATTTGTTAAATAAACCATAAAAACATAGCATTAACCAACAAAGGATTGTTTTCTGTTAATCTCTACTCATATTGTCGCAGCTACAAAATTAACCAATGAAGATTGAGAAACACTGCTAATGAATTAGCGTCAGACATCACATTATAAATGAGACGAACTGGACAGAGGAACATTATAAAATTAGATAAAAAAGGTATAAATAGGCATTGATCTATAGAAGAGCACATTCAAGTAGTTAAGTCCGCTTGATAACAACGAAAATGCGCGTCTTTTTGGTAAGTGTCAAGTGATGTGTTACATAGTTTGTGAACACCATCGAGTATGGCTTTGATACGCCATTAATATGCAATCTCAATGGTCATTGAGTGCTAATAAACTTTAACGGATATTATAAAGTATTAATTTAATTTATTAGTGAATTAACGTCAGATTGCCGATATTTATTAATATAATTTAATATTTTATAAATTAATTATTTCTGTTAACGAACGAGGATTAAGCTTTGATTTTACGGTTTCAGGTTGTTTGTCTGTCTCTGGCAGTCGCCCTTGCGGCTGACCCACCAAGGTAAGAACTATTCATATTTCCTTTTATTTTTTATGGTGTTTTGAAGCAAAAACGTGTAAAAAATTTAATTGCAATAGTTTACAGATCAGAATGGGATTGTGAAATAAAAAGTGCACTTTTATAATAATAAATAGATGCATCAAAGTAGTACTGACATCTTTTTCGCGATGTTTCTTTTTACTTCACGTATTCCCTAGATATATTGTCCTATATTGATGAACACTTAATCTATTTTGTACAAAAAATTTAATCCGATTTTTTTTACTTTTTAGGCCTGTATTCAGTACCTTCGCTCCGTTTACGTTTGCACCAACGACTCGGCGGTACTCTTTCTTCAGCACGACCCCTAGACCTGTATACAACCCTTACAACCCCACGAGGTACTACCCTAACTTCAACCAGAAATACAGCGGTGACAGTGCCGGTCGTTACGACTCCGGTCAGTACGACAACTCTGGCAGATACGTTCCTGACGACTCTGGCAAATACAAGTAAGTAGCATTCCCTATTTATATTTACAACTAACTTAACTATTGTTTCATCTTCCCGATACGTTTTATATTATAACAAACGATTGAACTTTTTATAAGGAGTTGTCAAATTAGTGCTAGTAAAATAACGACGTTTAGTACAGAGAATAATATGTTATCATTTATACAAATTTATTTGTATACTAATCTTAACAGCTACTGTATTATACGTGTAATTTTTAAAGCATTCAGCTATGCCAATTAATGAAAAGTTTTTCCTATTATACACGTATTATAACTTTACGAAAAGTACAACAAACATTTTTGAAACTATTCATGCTGTTTTAGCTTAATAGAACAAAATGTTAGTGAAGTGTTTCCAAAAAGTTTCATAGTTTTGGTTTTTACACAAGCGCAGTTGAAAAAACAGAATGTAATAAAATTTTACTACGGCACCTGTGTATTAAGTATGCCTAGCATTTAAAAAATTCTATCCACGACAATGTTTTGATCGTAAAATTTTAAATATTGTTCTCTTGACTCAACCTTGATAACTAAATTAAAGTTAAGTGTGGTGATTGTGGATTAGACAAAATGCATTATGTATGTGCGAGATAAAATTTTATTTGTTTATTTAATACTTACTTCATGCATTTTACCAGTATACCTTGGGGTGGCACGTGAATAGTACTATGTAAACAGATTTGCAATCTGAAGTGAAAGAAGACGTAAGTTCTAATAAGGTTTATTTTCTAGCGGTGACCGAGGTGACCGCGGTGGTGCTGGAGGTTTCTACTCTGGCTCCGGATCGGCCGGTGGTCCCGGTGGTGCTTACTCCGGATCTGGATCTGCTGGCGGTCCTGGTGGTCCAGGTGGTGCCTACTCTGGCTCTGGCAGCGCTGGAGGTCCCGGTGGTTTCTACAGCGGAAACGACGAAGGTGGACGTTACAGGCCTGATGGCAGCGGTGCTTACAAGTGAGTGTAAAACCTTAACCTTGCTGTTTAAAATTTATTAGCAGGATTACCACGTCTTTTGTCATAATTTAACAATATCGATCGTACAAATGATTAAATTAGGCTTAAATATTCGTGATTTGTATCAAATTCAATTTTTTTCGAGCGAATCATAAATGAGCAGGTGTTAATAAGATTATTTTGAATATTCAACAGTTAATGATTCTAGTTCCATGATTTTACGTTACCGAACTAACTTATGAATAATTATCTTCGAACAGCGGTGACCGTGGTGACCGCGGCTCTGCTGGAGGTTTCTACACCGGAGACAAGAGCAGTGGCTCCGCTGGAGGTTTCTACACCGGAGACAAGAACAGTGGCTCCGCTGGTGCTGGAAGCAAACCTAGTGGATCAGGCAGCGGATCTGCCTCAAGCGGCTTAGGATTAGGCTTCGGATCCGGTTCTGCTTCTGGCTCTGCCTCTGGTTCTGGTTCTGGTGCTTACAAGGGATCTGGTTCCGCTGCTGGATCTGGCTACGAATACAAATACGGCATCATCCGTCAGGAGACTGACGTTCTTCCTGAAGGTTACCACTACCTCTACGAAACCGAGAACAAGATTCTTGCTGAGGAAGCTGGCAAACTCGAGCAGATCGACAACGAAAGCGACGGAATCAGGGCTAAGGGATTCTACGAGTACGTTGGCCCCGACGGTATCACCTACAGGGTTGACTACACCGCTGACGAGAACGGTTTCATCCCCAGTGGAGCCCACATCCCAAATCCCAAAAAAATAGTCTAATAGTTCCTCATAAACTTTAGGGGTAATTAGGTTCTTTAAGAACTTAATAAAATTCACTGTACCTGCCCAAATAAGTACAATAAAGATGCTACTTTATCACTGAGTTTTTTTTGTGACTTTTCCTACAAAGACTATAAAAATAAAAAGTATTTAATTGCGTTGCTAGAGAAACTATCAAATCTAAATCTATCAAGTCAAGGAATTTGACATGATGATACCGCATACTAGGTACGACATATTTTATGCAAAATTACAAGTTTATAATTTAATGCTAACTCATTAAAATCGTCTCATTTTGCCACATTCAAGCGGATACAGGTAAATGTCAGTGCGAATACCTGTTGAATGACTGTCTGTCACATAAATTCTAGATTGATGTAGAAGTTAGGAACCAAAGTACCTACTATAATACGCCTACTCTAACCCTTTATGGAAACGCTTAATCTTGTTTGTTTAGTTTCAATGACTTGCAAAAACTAATATTCTACAAAACCTCCAAGACGTAATGATCTCATAAATTTAATGCAGTTTGAGTATAATAAGGTCAGATATTGACTTACCTTAATAAATAAAAAAATATGTCAAATGTTATAGTTCAATAGCAAATAACTGTTTGAATTAAAAAATATATAATTTTTATTACAGTCGTTGACGTTATCATAACACCAGACCCTTTATTTCTGGGCTCGCTGTCATTGCAGCGGTAAGTCCCCTCTTTGAGGAGTGGCTTGAGAGACGCTACGGCGTCCTCACTTACCGCCTGACGAAGGTGCTTACCGGACACGGAAGTTTCGGATTGGGCGGGAGGAAACGCTCGGGTGTCATCACTGCGAGGATCGCTCTTAGGACACGGTAGAGCATACGGTGGCGGTGTGTCCTGCATGGGCTGAGTACCGTCGTGTTCTCAGGGATGTGATCGGCGACGGCGAACTCTCGCGTCCGGGTCTGGTTCAGATCATGGTACGGAGCGAGGGGGACTGAGATGCCTTCTCCTCCTTCTGCGAAGCAGTCATGCTAGCTAAGGAGGAGGCGGAGCGCGTGAGTGAACGAACCTCCTCACGCCCCGGCCGTCGCTAAGGATACTCCAGGCATCGGGCGAGACGATCTCTGGTCAACGTAAGTACGGGTTTGCGAACGGCGAGCACGAGTGACTAGCCGCCCGGCCAGAACCAGGCCCGAGCGTACGGCGCGTCGCGTTCCGCGGGCGCCTCAAGGAGCCATCAGACCACCACGGATGGGGCCCAATAGAGCTGATGCCAATATGGAGCCGCAGAAGACTTAACGGGGTGGTTTTTAGTCGGTAAGAGTCTGACACTCCCTCCGCCTCCCCCAGGCGGGAGCAGTCATACGATGATTTTCCCCCTTAAAAAAACCGTTTATTTCAGGAGTGAAACTTATTAAGGAGTAAATGTAGAATTGAGTAGGTAGTATATTATCATTAAATTAAAATTTTATTGGCAAATTATGGTAAACTATTATGGTATCGGAGAAAAAGATATGAAGTACAATTATAATAGGAATTTCTGTATGGCACCTAATTCTTATGTGTACTACAGTCAAAAGACAATTGATGTTATTTTGTTGTGTTACTTATTATGACTATTCCATTGTAGAATCGTAGGCCATAACAACTTATATTTTCTGTCTCTACTCTTATTTCAAAAAGAAATCAAAATTATAACAGACAAATCATCAAACGGATGCAACATGAGATACAATTAACTTTGGACTATCGTCACCTCTGTATGAATCGCCAACGTAACAAGAACTGAGGCGTCATGCACACATAAATGTCCTATAGTCGGTCGCGCTGTATGTTGGGTCGGTCCGATCCCAATAAAAAGGTTGACCGGACCAATTACTGACACTCACATCATACTCGTGAACGAGTACCTTTAAGCTGGGTCAGGTCGGCTCTTCCATTGTGTTGGTGGGCTGATTTTGTAAAGTGTTATGTAATGTGTTTTTGTAGTAAAAATTATAGATGTCGTTAATTGTAGTGTGTAACATAGGTACTTTATGAACATTGATTAGACGTATTGTATGAAAAAAATGTATGACAAGGACACGGACTAAGAAGCCGTGGAGAATTATAATTTATATTGAATACAAAAAAACAGATAAATCATTATGCTATGCAGGCGCAGTAAATTGTCGTCGCTGTCTGCTGATATTATGATCATCGATATTAATATCCCGTCAGTCACGGAGACAAAGGCTACAACACTCTCTAATTTTTTGATGAAAAAGGTTTATAAAGTATGGTGACTATGGCACTTTGGGGACAGCTTTTATTTGACAGTCTTGATAATGATACTTATGGATCCAAAGAAATAGACCCAAAGAAATTAACTATACATTTTTTTTTTAAACTTGTTACATTTTAAATTTCGAATGAACCGGCTCAACAAAAGTGATAGGTACCACGGCTTCATAGGAAACCAGCGTGTCACAATTTTAAAATTCTTTAACTCGTCGAGTACCGGTTTTATAGACACAATTAAAGAACAATAGGTCGCGGTCACCGGTGACCCCTTGGTGTTTGACAGATTAAAACACCAATTCACTTGTAGAGGTATATGGGCGGCGCTGATTGCTTACCATCAGATGATCCGCCTGCTCGTTTGTAATGAAAAAGTTAGCAACTAAGCTACACGTATATACGATATCTTTTTTAGAGGATTCTTGGTTTTGTATGAAACTTATTCTGTTATTTCGTAATCTGGCACATGGTAAATCACCGTTAGCTTTGTGAAGAATGTTATTGTCTACATCTCTACAACTAACTAGTGACATCGCCAGATACAATATCTGTCTATTCTAATATAAACATTTTATCATATTTTTATTAGCAGCGCCACCTACTGTTCCCAAATATGAATTTATATCACCAAAAGATTCACATATGCATACGTAAATAATTTCTTGAAAATGAATCTTTGTCACCATGCGTAGTTTCTGTTGCTAATAACAGATGGCACAACGGTACTTGAAATGATCGTTTCATTGTTCGATATTTTTGTCTCTTTGCTTCACTTCGTGCTGCGGATAAAGTCGCAAGAAAAAAAAATTGGCATTAATATTTTCTTGTATTCAGTTTTAGGTATATAGCAACAGTCTATATATCATAATTATTTAATTTTGAAAGTTCTCAGTACCTATTCGAGACTTAATTTTCTAAGCTTTATAAAAAAAACTTTTATAAACGTACTAGGAATACAAACCAAATGCAGTGTTTAGTTTAATTACGTTACCAAGAAAGGCAAAAAGTAATGATCAGGTTCGGGTAAAAGTTCAAAACGTTATGCTACAAACTGACAAAAATACAGAGCGTCGATGAACGCGCGGTCACTGTCTCCAATTAGCAGAAAAACGATGCATGTATGTTTGTATGTTTAATTTTAAATGTGACTCAGAAGTACTTCTGTTTCATTTATTTTTTCTCATACTTACAAATTTTGGAGATGACTTTGTTGAGGTTATAGGAAAACTTCAAATGACAAATAAAACCTATGGGCAATTGTATTAGCCTCTAGATATTGTAGTGATTTAAGGAGAAGTATCTAGTTGTGAACAAGGGAAGACATTTTAGACATTAATTTTGCTTATTAATGCTAAAAAGTGCGTCAAATGTTTTTTCTCTAGAAAAGTTAGAAATTGACAATAAAAATGCCAGCCAACGTGTTAAAGAATAACTAACATAACCTTTAGTGGAGTTTATATGTATATAGCCTACTGTTATCTAAACGATGATGTTTTGTTTTCGACAACCACGCGAACGAAGTCGCGGGCACAGCTAGTTATTAATAAAACGTTTTATTCAACTATTTTTTTTATTTACAAATAATAAAACTTAAATAAAATAAATACTAACTATTACAAAATATATACATTTTAAGATAAAAATTAATTAAAATAAAACTAAAAATAACTATTTACACAAAGTATCGAAAAATTCGTCCGCATCGACGTCGGTGGGAAAGTACCCATAAGGCTGGCAGCATTGCCACGTTGTATGGCAATGCTTAACCTCTGACCGACAAAAAGACTAGCCCTTCTGGTCACGAGACCAGGCGTTTCGAAATATTTTTGAAAAATAAGGGCACTCGGACGGACTCCCAAGGACCTATCTGGGGATATTTCATGAAGCTTTTTATTCGTGTTATAAAATTTAAGTTATTTATTATTACTAGAGGTACATTTATAAATATGATGCTCATTTTTAAAGTCATTATTACCTTCACAAAGTTTGTTTGCCTTCAAACGTCTTTTATTGAGGAATATAATATAACTCGAAACAAACGAGTGCAACCGCAGCAAAGACTTAGGTTTCGAATATCGATGACTGTATGAGTCACAGTTCAAAACCCACACAAAATTTTTTGCACACTTCAATAAGTTATGCACACACATAAATTAAATAAACAAATATATTATTATAAATGCGAAGTTAATTACAGTTCATTCAATGTAATTGGCAATTTGTCGGTACATAAATTAGGTTTTTTTATCGATAGTTACATTGTACCGTTTTGTTTCGTCAATCTATGCATGATCAAATAATTATAAATTCTTCTACATATGTTTTAATGATTATGTATTTTGATTTTAATTTTTTAAACTTAGGGTCACCGACCTACAGTGAACGGGTTTCTGAATTGTATGAACATTTAATATAGTAGTTTGTATATGTTAGTGACTTTTTGTGGCATATAAGGTATGTTACTTACACGGTAAATTCTTATGGGACAAGGTGAGTTAGCAAAACTGTATTGTAATAAGATTATCTTAATCCGTCTATAATATCATGTCAAGGTATCACTTATCAATAAATAAGCTAAATGATACGCATGAATATTTAGTTTTAATGAACAATTTTTGAGATACAAGGACCAGTTTCACAGGTTCCCTATAAATTATAGAATTTAGGTGACAGATCTATATGAATCTAGTTCCATTTTTAATTTATCTAATCGAGAGTGACTGTCTAAAGACTGATATCATTAACATAAGAATTCAATTTTAGTTCCGGGATCATGCGGTTTGTAACAACGTTGTTAATTAAAATTCAATAGAAATCAAAAATAGGAAAATGGATTTTACAAGAACCACAAAAATCTTATTCATTCAAGGAAAACTTCATGATCAGAGACTGATTCACTTCCCTTTTAATTTTAATGTCTAAGCATATCATTGAAAAAGTAGATAGATTTTAAAACGAATTATATGAAAATAATGAAATTATATTGAAAAAATATTACATAACATATCATAAATGCATGTAATTTCATTAAATAGTGCCTACAACAGTTTATAAAAAGGATATTTTTTAAAAGTTTGTCCAATAAAATAATTCATTTTCTTAATGATTGTTATGGTACAAAGTTACATTAAAATAGTTATTTCTATTGGTTTCTTCGGAATTATTACTTTTTTTTAATTGATATTTATCTTGTTTGTGTAACACACTATGTGTCTCGGTGTTGTTATATCTTTTCCTGCCACAGGAAAAAATTCCAGTTGGAATATGTGGGGCCTATGTAGGTACTCTGTTTTTATATATGTATTGTCCTCTGTGTTGAATGTGTGTACATAAATAAATAAAATAAATAAAATTTTATTCAATAATTTTGTACGAAAACAGTTGAAAATAAAAATTCACACATTTAGAAATTGCTGTATAACAGTATTTTACCTGGAGCGAACGCCAGCTACCCTTTAGAACTCGGCAAGCGTTAAAGGGACACTCTATATTCTTAGTTAGACCCGACTTCAAAATTTTCTTGACTTTTCTGCCTATTTTATTTTGTTAGCCACTTCATTATTCTATTTAAAATTATCATATAAAAATAATTAACGTAGATGTTGGTCGATGATTAATAAAAATAAATGATCCTAACTTTAGAAGCCAATGCATTTTATTTGCACATGTAGTTACTATTATGTCATTTGGAACATGCAGTTGTTTTATTTTAATGATCTTTTGACCCTACTAGTAGTAATATTTAAATAACCGGTTTTAATGTAATATTTTTATAGATTCCTACATAGTATGACATCCAGTTATTGTTACTTATGTACGTTTTAAACTCTGTTTAGTGATTATTTATTAGAATAAGAATAAGAACGTTTATTTGCACGAAGTATGGTTATTACAGATGATAGTAATTATAAAAAATACTATTCCGGAAAAGTAGACAAAAGACGTAATTTTCGATACTAACTTTGTATTTATGACTAGGATATTGGAATATTAAAGACATACCCGATACAACTTACTGCTATATTTATTTGAAAAAGGATTTTTACTATGCACCATACGAATTTATTAAAAAAACATAAAATAGCATCACGCCTTTTATCCCGAAGGGGTAGGCAGAGGTGCATATGACAGCACTTAATGCCACTATTATTATTAAATATTATATTTAAAAAATCAGAACTAGTTTAAGAAGAGCATATTTATAATATTCATGGATACAGGATTGCGGGTTACAAGTATGACTCGGAGTCTGTAGACGAAAAGTTATTTTTAACGTTTGAAACATAAAAAATAAATACAATTTACACCAAAATGTAATTTCATCACCTTCCCATTCAATTGGTATCGGAATTCGGATCTTCAGTTTCACAACGCGAGAATAAATGCTTCCACATCGGCCCTTGACCCGACCACCTACGATAGGAATTTTTGCGACGATGTTCCCTTACAAGGGATTTTGTATAAAAAACCATCAGTACTTTTGAAAATTTCGAAAGTGGGATATGCTAACCTGGTTTAATTGAAAAAAGACGTATCAACCTAGAGGATATATAGATAGAGGAGGGATTTCAAAATAAAGGCTGTAAATGATAATTAAATTAGAATGTAAGATCACCATCTATTCTGGACGTTTATCCATGGTACACTTTTTACTAATTACTATTAATGATAATTAGGTCAAGTGTTATGTTATGAGTAAAAAATCAAACAACTTTTAGAACATAAAAATAAAAATTGTCACTATTCAATTTAGTTTTTTGTAGAGGCATAATTAATTTATATATTTACTTAAAGACAAAAATAACGAGGACATTCATAAAAGGAGCATTTCCCAATTCAGTATAATGTTAGTAGAACTATGAGTGTAGATTATTAATTAATTCTAGATTTACGCTTTTAAATGGAAATATTAAGAAAAAGACGACGCATTATGTAACCACTTTGAGAATAGTTTTATCTAGAAAAGTATAAATGGCAGAATAAAGTTGTTATAGACTACATATTTGTCTTTATAGATGTCACTCATGTCATAACACAGCACGTAGGTATCCCGACACCTACTTAAAGACGAGCGGACTAGATTTTGTATGTCACCTAAGTCAAGCATGTCAAGAACCTAGATGTGAATCAATAAGGTCTTGTGAACGCAGTGGGCACTATATTGTTGCATTTTAATGATTTTTGTTTTATGCAAATCGATGTGTGAAGTGGATCTTCAAACATTCCATAAGAGAATTACGACTCTCTTGCAAGTCGGTCGTCTCAAACTGCACGGGGATTGCTCTGTTAGTGACTCAAATATTTTAATATAAAAAATGCAACATTGAAGTGCAAAAGTGAATGATTAATAACGTTCATCCAAGTTGCTGCGGAACTATTATAATTTATAAGCTATGCTAATACTTTTATCTGACCTCGTCACACCTTGATTTAAGGATTCTGTTCCACTTTTGGTACGTTTTAATACAATTTATTTATTAATTTAAATGTTAATCAAATGTCAATGATGAAGGAGATGAATTTGACAATATAAATGTATATCCTCGGAGGTGCTAACCTATGACACATTTTGATCTAGTTTCAGATCTGTAACATTATTTGTGGAGTTAGCAGGCCGACTGTGCGAGGATTTTATTCTGGTGACTGCAAATATTTGTTCGTGATTATGTCGAGTGCTGTGAAATTGGTAAGTGCATTTATTTATTTAATTAAAATTCATGTTTTTTAAATATGTAAAATAAGTTTTTATATTGTAATTTGAGTTAGATATTGTGTTGTATTTTTAGAATACTTATTTAAATATTAACAACATATCATTTTAATAAACGATTATTATAACATTTATTCGATTGAATTGAAAATGAAATACATTATTCGATTGTTATCTAGAAACTTTCGATCATTGTCCTTAACTTTTTATTTTTTATTTGAATTGTAAATTATTTTTTCTGAAGTTTTAGCTTATAATTAACAATATGCATTTACAATACAAGTGAAAACAAGGATCATTCAGGGATATCCTTAATGAATTATTCATATACATTAAACACTTGCATGCCTTCAGAATGTTGGAACATAGAAAATAATGCGTATTTAAATTAGTGCATTAAAGGTGTCAAGGTAAATATGTAATTAAATGAATATTCATTATTTAATTCCAGGTATTTGTGCTGTCTTTATGGGCAGTAATACAATGTTCGCCTTATGATGACGGGAAGTACCATCCAAAGAAATACAGAGTATACGATGATGGAGGATACTACAGGCCTTTAGATGAAGGCAAGTATGTTCCTGGGGATGAGGGAAAGTACACATACATATACCAACAAGGTCTATACCCAGAGGATGATGGCGACTACAGATACGTACATCAAGTTGGACCAAATGGTGGATTTGGGGGTAATGGTGGCTATGGAGGTAACGGTGGTAATGGAGGAAACGGGGGCTATGGTGGAAATGGCGGTTACGGAGGAAACGGAGGTTTTGGACCGAATGGACCAAACGGCCCCAATGGTCCTAATGGTCCAGGTGGCCCTAGAGGACCACCCGGGCCACCCGGCCCACCCGGCCCTGGCGGTCGAGAGCCAAACCGTATTGATTACATCGGTTCGAAGACATATGCTCAAAGATATCCCTACATTCATAAAGTGATTAAGGGCTTGGTAGACAAATATGTGTCAGATGAGGCTGTCAACTTCGGAGATGAATACGAAGGAAGCACAAACCACTACAGAAAGGTGTATGCTGATAAGGAGATTGCAGTGAAGTGCAGATATCTGGAGCCAGCCTACAATCAGACAGAGTTTGTGACACAGTAAGTAGCAATAGACTTTTTCACAATATGTATAGAGTAGGAGTTATATAAATGATAGTCCTTGATCATACCATGAAAGGAAAAGAGTCCAGGTTTGAAAATCTAAGTAACTGTATACGTTTGGTTTACTGCAACAAAAAACAAACAAAGAGTTTTTTGTTCGTTTCCATTTATTCTTTTGTAAAAGTTTTGTTCAATGGAAAAGCATTACTAATTTGGATATTCGCAAATATAGAAATGGTCAACTTTAACATTATAATGCGAATTTATTTATTTAGATGACTAGATTATTTTTGGAATAGGATGAGTTATTACTCATGCTTTGTATTTATAACTTCGAATAAATTTTAAATTTTATTACAAAGAATTAGTTAGTGTCAATGTGGTCAATATTTGTCATAGCAAGGAGAATACGTCGTCGTTGATGATAGTTTTTCTCTCTTTTATCTCGGTTTTTACGTTTAGTAATTATTATTCTAGATACCTATTGATTTGATATCTATCAAATCATTTAGTAACTATCAATTTTTATGTATATATTTTATGTATTTACGTTTTTGAATAGCTAGTTATTGACAGCAACATCGAGCATAGTGTTACATAAATAAGCAATTTGAAACTGCCTATTAGTTTGTATTTGCTTTCAGCTAGATTTCATGCAAATGTGTTTTATTGTTGAAAAATATTAATTTTGACATTGATGTACATCTTCTCTACTCTTAACCCCTCGAGCGTCCTTATGAGCACCCGGTGGATCATAAGAAAAAATGCTCCAAATGTCACGCGTGCACCCGTTGGATCATAAGGAACGCGGACGCTTGACGGGTTAATTCGGAATTTAAATAAATGTTTACCATGCACTATTGAGGATTACGATCAGCTAGATCCTCATTAGCCAGAGATTATTTATTTATCCGATACCCAGCATTTTACTTTATCTGGACTTTAGAGAATATACTTGCTGTCGGTAAACTTTTTAAAGAATAAGCGGAAACGATCGTGGTTTCCTTCTCCTCTAATAATATCTTCTGATTTATTTTATTGGGGGATCCAGACTTCACAAGACAGGATTCACGTCCCTGACACGCGCCGGACTTCAGTGTTCCGCATTTTCATGGTTGTACCTACTTTAGAGGAAGATCCTGTCTTACAGGAGTTGCAGCGGTTAATACAGTTGGTGTCGGGACTGTCTGATAAAAAATAATTTGTCCATCTTTTCTAGACCAATGAACCTACGTGCAGAAATAAATCTAGTTTCATTTCACTTTTCACCCGAATCTTGTATTCAATATTCCCTAATTTCTTTTTTCAGATATCCTCCAACACTGAAGCTCCCTCATGGTGAAAAATTCGGTTCCTACTACAGTTTTAGAGGTAGCAAAGTTCTAAATACTGTGAAGAATTCCCTAACAAACAAAGTGAAGCTGGAGTACGAAGTATTTGTAAGAGTTGTGGACACAACAACAGAATAAACCAGTCATCCTATTTAATGTATTATACTCGTGATATTTATAAAATTATATGATTTGGCACTAATGTTAATTAAAATATAAGCTGTAAAATATTTAAATAATGTTTTATTACTTCTTGATTGTAAAATATTTCGGTGTTTGTCAACGTACATTGCAGTTTTCAACATGGCGGGTCCTTTTTGGAAAAAGGGTTGTGTTATTGGTAGCAGGTACCGTCAATATTTAAATAAATTAACTCAATACAGGTATTAAAGTGAGCTGTTGACCGTTGAGCTTTATTGCTTTGTTGACTAATTTCTGGTAAACAACCTGGGGTCTTAGGAAAGTTCGTTTTTGATGTTTTGTAGGTATAGTTGATTCATTATAATTACGTAATGTAGAACAGGCCCATGCAAAAGTGTTCCAACGGTTTTTATGTTCTCTGGAATATTCGTTTCATGAAATATTTAAAAAAATTTGCCAGATATAGTTACAGTTTCAATACCATGTGCCAAATTCTCATTGTATATAGTTCAAGTTCAAGTTTAATTGTCACAAGCCATTAGATGTATTTATAAACAAACTATTGCAATTTGGGCTTTGATTACGTTTCTATTAAATGATAAGAAATGTCTTCATTATCATGAGCTGGAAAAATAGGTAAATTTATGTTTTAGTAGATTGAAACATTAATAAGTTACTACCTACTAACAAATAAATCAGGTAAATTAACTGAGAGTAAATCCATTTACGGTCTAAATTAGGTTCTGGGGTACACATTCGGTGCTCTGATTGGCCGGTTTGGATGAACCAAACAATCAGGAACGCCGTTCGCGGTATCGTTTCGATTACTTTAAACGTAAAACAAACTTGTACTAAAGCCATTGAAAGCAGCAATAGAACAGAAGAAACTTACGGAGATTAAAGATAATAAATATGAAATTACACTCATGAAGATTAGTGAATAAAACTAAGATAAGGACTATCAAAACATTGAATAAAATTAATTAAAATATCTAAAACAAAGAAAAGTTTGACTTAATGAGGCGCTTTACAATCCAAACGATTTTATTTGTTAGTTTTGGATTTTTGTATTTATTGTTCATTAGCGTATTTCCCAATCTCTTGTACGATACCTTTACTAGATTTACGGGGAAGAACCTAAGTCATGTTGTGATTTTCCCTTATTTGTATAAAAAGGAAAAGGATATTGTATGGTATTTGAAATTCATTTTATTTTAAGACTTATTTTTGTCCATTACTAAGTAATAGATATATAACAGTTCTGGTAATTTGACAATCTGTAGCAAACTACAGATTGTCAAATTACCATTAACAAACGGAAGTAGGAATAAAACAATACATAGAGAGAATAATAGTAGAAAATCCTAATTTCGAATTTTCAGTTCATTTTCACAGATGTAACATGTAGGTATAGCGATTTTTTTTTTATTAAAATGATGTCTTCACTAGCTTTTGCCAGCGGCTTTGCTCGCGTTGCCGTAGGATAAAAACTAGCCTATGTATTATTACAGACCATAATTTACCCATATTCCAAATTTCACCTCGATCCCTTCAGCGGTTTTGCCGTGAATGAGTAACAAACACACACACATACACATACAAACATACATTCTCACAAACTTTTGCATGAATAATATTAGAAGAATTATTATAAATTCAAACTATTATTTTAAACCTTGACATTACTACTCTCTGTAATTCCGTCAATGGAATTTCGATCGGCCTTGCGTCAGTTTCAGTTCATGGAATCAGATATGTGCTAAAATATGCATTTTACTGGAAAACCACACAATAAACTGCAAAAAATATCAAACCACAAGAATATCGTTAGTTCCCGAAAAGGATATTTTCTAAGTATACTTAAGTGATTCACTTATATCCTTATAATAAACAGGATGAAGGCTTTGACCTTCAAATAAAAATGCAATAAACAGAAATATCACATTCTTCCAAACTTGTTTCAACTAAAATGTTACAGATGCATAAAATTAAAGATGTTCTCCGTTTTATATTATTCTGTAGACAATAAAATACGAGATCAGAGTTACGTAAGATCAGAAAATATGTTGGAATATGATAATAAAATCTTCATTAATATTTATAAACTTTTGCTTCGTCTTTTTTGGACATGACGATAAATTCTTTTGTTTTTATCGTTTCTTTTGTTTCTTTCGTTTGTGAACAATTTTGAAAAGAGATATTGGACCGTTGTCTCAACACTTTCTGATCAATAATTTAACTTCAGATAAGGTATATAGAGGTACAACAGCTGGGATACAATTGTTTTTATTTTGATTAGAACATGACAGTATAATAAATAGTAACAGATAGTAAATGCTTGTCACTTCTTTTGGTGTCCTGTTTGGTGTCCATGGACCTTGCCAATTTAAAAAAAAAACAACTTAATGTACAGTTCACTGATTTCCTAAGATTTGTCTTCAGGAAGCAAGTAGTTGCAAGGCACGTTGGTAACGTATAATTAAAGGTACGTGACTACACATAAAATTCGAGGATCCGATTCATAAGATTCGAGGATCTTTGAATCTACTTGAGAATATGCGTGTAAGCTCTCGACGTTACAATAAAAATAAAAAAAAAAACAAAAGATTGTACAGTACAGTAACCGACAAAGTTTATGAACAAGCACAGATATGAACATGATTACTTATGGTGATACTTATTTTAATATTTTGTTTTGTTTATTAATTCGAAGAAAGGCTTTGAATACCCATTTGTACATTTTCTTTGTTCATGAATGTTTTTGGTTATAAAAATATCTTTAATCTAAAATATTGTATTAGATGTCCCACACATTATAAACTATCTTTCTATCGTATCTATCCGTCTCGCGGAAAACCTAACGGGTAACCGGGGCTCCGGCTCGACGTGCAGGAGAAGGAACGGGGTGGTTTGTAGTCAGTAAGAGTCTGACACTCCTTCCCGCCTCACCCAGGCGGGAGCAGTCATTAGATGATTTCCCCCCTTAAAAAAAAACGTATCTATCCATAATAAGGTATATTATGGCGATATCTGTGTTATAATTTTATTAAGAATAAGAAATTTTATTTGCTTATAGCAAATAAAATGCATGTACATACAGTGTAAGGTCTTTATATAATATTGGGTCACAGCATATCTACCATTTTAATTTTAATATTAAATAAGCTAATTTTAATATTATAATTTGGTTTAATTGGTATTCTTATTAGGAATGTCCAAATAAATGTACACACATAATTCGAAATTTTTTACAATTACATATACTACCTTGTAACTGCTCTACTAACAAGTTTTGGATCGATTTTCAGATAAGGCAATATTTATTATTTACTAGAGGTACATACTTGCTCTTCGGAGGAGGCCTTTTTTTTAAGGGGGGATAATCATCTAATGACTGCTCCCGCCTGGGTGAGGTGGGAGGGACTGTCAGACTCTTACTGACTAAAAACCACCCCGTTCCTTCTCCCGCACTTCGAGCCGGAGCCCCGGCAACCCGTTAGGTTCTCAGCAACAACTTGGATAGATGTTGAGGCCTATAGATGTTGAAGGACAAGCTGAGGATAAAAGAACTGATGTATAGTATAATAATAGAGACGAATTTGTAAATTTATAACCTCAGTAACTTTATAACTGATTGCTTATTTTATTACATGTTTTTTTTTCTTAAATTTTATAGGACGAAGTGTTGAGTTGAAAAGGTGATTGGATTAAGGACTGTAGAGCAGAATATCACAGACGTTAGAAGAAGTTTTTTAAGGTTTTTAGCAAATACATAGGTAATGCTGATTAGGATTTACAATTTCAGATAATTAGAAACTGAAAAACACCCTATATACCATGCAATATCTAAGTACTAATATACATACATAATATCATGTCTTTAATCCCCTATGGGGTAGACAGAGGTGCACATTACGGCACTGTACAATGTAACACCCACTTTTCACCATTCATATACCGAACACAATTCCAGACTCCGTGCTACTACTGAGAATTTTTTTAAAAGCCCAGTAGTATTTTCCTCGACCGAGGAATCGAACCCGAGACCCCTTGCCCGTCAGTCGCACTTTTGACCACTCGGCCAACGAGGCGTCTGACTGTGTGATGAGGCCTTAGTAGAACCTTGGTAGAACTTTAGTTCTGAATACTTCCTTAATTCACAATAATAACTTAGTAATTAAATATACACCTACATAATATCTATATAGTCCTTTGCAATGAAAATAAAAGTTTTCAACAAGCTATTAGGACATGCTCTCATTCGTTATGTTAATGTGGAACTAATGTTAGTTATACTTTATCAAGTTTCCGTCAATAGTATCGCTACAGTGGGCGATATAGTCCTCGAGTGATCTAAGTATTCTACTTTGGGTGTGGTCAGTTGTATAATATATCACATAGAGGACCAAATAAGCCTCTTCGAACGCCTTCACAGAACAAAATTAACATTTTTTGCAATTTAAACGTAGGTATTGTTGCAATAAATACTCCATTTAAGATTTTGACGATCGTATATAAAGAAACGATGGGCGTAAAGGATTTATTCTATTGTTAAGAAGCTAGGCGTAACAATGAGGACGATCACTGTGAGTAAGAATAAGGGTTTTTATTAATAAAAATAGTACTTGTGATTAGGCCTAACTAGGAAACTACCGCTTGACAATAGGCGTTCAGTTTCACAAGTTGGCGGACAATTCGATTTTTGATTATACCAATAGTTTGCTTGTAGTGTATTCAAACAAATGCTTTAGGGCCAATTTTTCAATGCTCAGTTAATTAAATGTTAACTGAGGAATGACTTTAAATATTTGACAATTCTTCCATACTAAAAACTGTCAAGTGTCAATTTTATTTTACAGTTAACTGATGATTGAAAAAACGGCCCTTAGTTAGTTATAAATGAAAGAATATTAAGATAAATGTAACTTAAATTTTAAAAAATGCTCACTAAACCACTTAACTGACTACCTGCATTCATTTTATTTGAAACTGCTATGAGTAATTTAATACGAAAATAGATTTAATTAAGTGCTAAGTAAAGGCTACTAATAGAGTTTGACACTCTGTCTTGAGATAGGGAAATGAAGTTTATTTCTTTCAACTGAAACTTGGTCCCTGATTACCGAAATAATACACAGTTAAAGTTGGTTTTCTGAATGTAAACTAGGATTTAAATAATAAATTACAACGTGATTGACACCATACTAAAGAGTATATTTATATATTTCTAACATATCGTACTCACGTATTAAACGTTATCATTCACAAATTGCTGAAAAATAAACTCTAAGTCATGGCCCCTTGGAATATTAATCGCTAAAATCTCCTGCACGTCTATTCTCAACTATAGGTCTAGCTGCAACTTATCGCGATTCATATACTAATTTGTCTAGGCACTCCTAAAATTATAATATATGTTCGGAAAACTCCACTAAAATGTCTTTCATGATTGTGTCATTAATTGTAATTTTATCATTTCAGTTCATTGTCTTGGCCTTGAGTGCAGTCAGCTTCTCCCAAGCTGATGTAAGTCATGTGGTGAATGATGGTCGGTACCACCCTGAACTCTACGGAAGCTACGACGGAAGGTACCTGGCGGAAAGGAATGGCAAATACGGCTCGATCTACAACGCGTATCAGCCACGGTACTATCAGGCGCTAAGCCGGGAGCTTTTGACGCCCGTAGACAGGTAAGACTAATTTCTGAACCATAAGTAAAAAATTAGGGCCTAATTGTATATTACTGTACCGTTACTATACATAAATATTTTATCACATCAAGTTCTGCTACTGTTGAATATGAGCTTTTACGTTCTTTGTCATTAAGTCAAAATTAAGTTAGAATTTTGCAATATTTTGTATTGAAAGTTTTAGTTAGCACGGGGTACTTACATATTTCTTTAGACTATCTCATAAGTGGTGCAATAGATGTTTAAGGATTTTTAATGTATTTTTGTTATATAGAAATATTAACGGAAAGTATTCGTTGGGTCATTCATTATTCATTTTTTTTTTAATTTTTTATTTATTTACAGGGTTTTTTCTTAACATTCATTATTCATTCTTTCCTAAACATTAGGCAGGGTAGCTCACGCCCTTAATAGACTATTTATTTTTGTAAGTTCAGTATCAGGATTAATTTATTTCTCTAGATAAAAAAAGTGATTTTTCTAATAGTAGGTCAATATATATAATATAATTTTGTAAAAGGGTATAAATTGAAAAACTATATACCCATTACTTTCTTTAACTTGAGATACATTACGTAATAACAGGTCTTGTATTATTGGAAGTGAAATAATCCCTTATTATAATTTACAAAATTTAATTGATGAAATTTTCTGTAGGCTGTATTTAGATAACATACTTACTAAACGCGATCTAATCACGGCGTTTTCAAACAGGATTATATCAATGAGCAAGAACTAAATGTCAAGCAGGAAGCGCCCACATTTGCATAGTTCAGGATTACTATTGAACTAATGCCCTTTAAGATCTTAGGTTCCAATACTTGGGTATCTGCCATTTGGTTGATAAATTAATAAGTCTGATATTTACCAGGAAGATCACAACGCAATTCATAATAATATTTTCGAAATGATATTTATAACCACGCTCTATAAATCTTGATATTTGTGACTTAAATTGTGATCCTATTTTAAACACAATGCATAACTAAAATCATGAGCTAGATAAGTAGCCGCTATAAAGATTATTTAACCATGTTTTCAACACTCCTTAAATGTCAACAATAATCTTCATTTTATTCAACATCCTAGAAGATTGTGTTACATTTGAACAGTCTTGTGGAATAAGTCTAAAAATAGAAATCCTTTTTAATATTTTAATCTTGTAGTTGGAGATGAAATGTGTTCTTTGATAGTATCTTGTGTGAGGTGTTTAGTACATCCGCGTTACTGCCAGTCCGCGCCCAACGTGACAGATGACATTACCCATGACAGTTCAAGGACAAACACGTGTATCGAATTCGTAATTAAGGCGTGGGTCTCTTCACAGCTCTTTCCAAATTAAGCTGATTATTATTTATTTGACTAATCCAATTTACGACAGAATGTTTGTAATCATAGAGGTAGTTTTGATAAACAAAAATAAATTTTGTACAACATACTTGATTAACCAATTTATTATAATTTTTCGCAGCGTCGAACAACCGGTGGCTTTGCCTACATCAGCTGTGTCATACCGCACTCCATTCTCTCCTGTGACTTACCGCCCGATCGTATACTCAACCCCGCGGCCGTTCGCTTTAAGCACCAAGGCTCCAATAGTTTACCAGAAGTCCGTCACTGAGAAGACACCTGTAGTTTACCAGAAGTCTGTCTCCGAGAAGGCTCCTGTAGCAGTTTACCATAAGTCTGTCTCCGATGCTGCTGCCACTATTCTGAGGGAGGACAGGACCTATGATGAAAACAATTACCACTACGCGTACGAAACCAACAACGGCATTGCTGCCGAAGAGTCCGGAATTGTTGACGCTTCTCACAATGGAGTCGGTGGAGGTACCAGGGTTAAGGGATTCTACGAATACATAGGCGATGATGGTCTTAAATACAGAGTAGACTACATCGCCGACGAAAATGGTTTCAGAGCAAGCGGAGCTCATCTGCCCAAAGCCCCTTAACCAAATTAGTCATAATAAATTAAATACGATGTAAAATATTTCGAGAGCACAAATTAAAAAAATTAAAGCATTGTTGTTTTATTATTATTTGCAACAGAGGTATTTTAAGCTTATTCCTTACCTGCGATTTTATAGCTCGTAGGCGGAGCCACATCCTTTGCCTTACAAAGCAGAACGTGTCTCAGTTTATTGGGCAATCTCAATGAGCCATAATACTAAAAGGAATTACCGTCTTTTACATGTACTCTAACTTTAGATCAGATTATGAAAGCTTATACAAGTGATTGTTGATGGTTGGATGGATAGATGAGTTATAGTAGTATCGCTTAGTCATTCTGTTAAAAATTATGTAAAAAGTATTTATCTCGAAGTTGTGATTTTGACAGTGACACTATAAATTAAAACTAATTGTTGTAACATTCTTGACGTGTGAGTCACATGCGAGTCTAGACAACTCTTTGCCCGTTTCGGTTTGACGAATAATGCCTGCCGATGGTGTGATCTTTTCGGCCACATTTCAGTTACATTTTTTTAAAGTGTTTGATTAAACGTTTGATGTAAATTTTAGCCGGACTGCCTCGTTGGCCGAGTGGTCGCAAGTGCGACTACCGGGCAAGGGGTCTCGGGTTCGATTCCCGGGTCGGGCAAAGTATTACTGGGTAATCTCAGTAGTAGCACGGAGTCTGGAAATGTGCCCGGTATATGGCAATAGGCTCACCCCCTATTACATGGGACTCATAACATAAATAGTGAAAAGTGGGTGTTATATTGTACAGTGGCATAATGTGCACCTCTGCCTACCCCTTCGGGGATAAAAGGCGTGATGTTATGTTATGTTATGTAATTTTTAGATTTCTGGAAAGCTCTATTTAAAATATACTATACAGGAATCCTTTCGTGTTTTCCTGTTCAACTGATTTATTATTAACAGATAGAAATGATTTCTTCGAGCGATGTACAATCTTTATAAAAACCAACTATAATGAGGCTGTCAGTTTTTGCTAGACAATATTCTGCTTTATACAAAAACTAAAATAGGTATATAATCTATCAACACTAAAAACTAGTTTAAAATTATTCTTTAGGAGGATGATTAAAAGAAGTTGATGGATTAATTACAACTAGTCTGTTATTAAAGCTAGGTTTTTAAAAATTAAATAGCTCTAGCGTACAAGATATTCTTTTAGCATTATTTTGTGGTTTCGTCCGTAACCTAGTCAAGATTTAGGTTTTATGTAACCACTACTTTAAAATTGAATAGATGTGCATGCACAATAAAATATATTATTAAGGATGAAAAATATGAATTATTTGAAAATTTCGAGTTTTTATTAATGAATAAATAACTTTTGATTATTTTTTAACTACCTCAAATCAAACCTAGATTATTTTACAATTTATCTGTTACCCTGTTAGTCGTAACTTACGGATAAGATAAAGAATCTTATTAGTACTTATAGAAAATTAATAATATTTGTAATATAGTAGATATATAATATTTATAATAATACAAATTATTATATCTATAATATTTGTTGGCCAAGTTACGGTAATATATGATCATATTACCGTGTCGCAAGTGTGACTGCCGGGGTAAGGGGTGTCGGGTTCCATTCCCGGTTCGGGCTAAGGAATACTGGGCTTTTTGAAAAGTTTCACAGTAGTAGCATGGAGTCTGGGACTGTTCCCGGTACCTATATGGCAATAGGCTCTCCCATAAATAGTGAAAAGTGAATATTACATTGTACAGTGGCATTAATTGCCGTAATATGCACCCCTGCCTATCCATTTAGGCCTTCGGGGATAAAAGGCGTGATGTTACATGTTAATACCTATAGAGGTAGATGTTTAATGGTTATCGACCCCAGAGTCTCAGAGGTAATTAATGAGGCTATCTATGTTAATCGAGATCTGCATCTAAAGTCAAAGGTTAATACGATGAGCCAATTAACGAACAAATTTTTCTTAAGAAAATAATTATAATTAATTTTAAGAGGTTGTTAAGTGCAATTTATTTTATTGACAAAATAATTAATAGATTCATTAAAATTATAATTATAAATAGTCTAAAATCTAGTGAATTTAAGATATTAATTAAATTAAATGAAGAGGTTATCATGAAAGACTACAAAAACCAGGTTTAAAATGGGAGATTTAAAATAAAATGCAGATGTAGTACTAAGAAGTAAAATAAAAAAGGATATCTATTAATAGATCTAATGAAAGAAAAATGTTTCAAGTTAGGTGTTTACAATTATTCTTTACTTTACAATTATTATTTTTACAAATAGGTAGATAATGCAGTTATGGTTTTAACTCCATGGCTTGGCATCTTAGCGTTTAACAGCGGGAGCCTATTTTTTTTCTAATGTTTATTTGACATAACATTACTCCTTTTGTCCCCGACGAGGTAGGTAGAAGTGCACAATACAGCACTTAATGCCACTGTACAATGTAACACCCACTTTTCACTTTTTATGTCATGGGTCCCATGCCATAGGAGGTGAGCCTATTGCCATATACCGGGCACATTTCCAGGCTACTATTGAGATTTTTTTAGAAAATCCAGTAATACCTTGCCCGACCTGGGAATCGAACCCGAGACCCCTTGCCCAGCAGTCGTATAACTTCTTAATCGACTAATCTTCTTGACTATCTCCAAATGGCTGCATTGGGTCCTATTTCGGTAAGTTTTTCACAATATCACGATTAAAATACATTTGTAATTCAATTTCGCATGCGAACGATGCTTTCTGTTGACAACTAAATGTTGCATCTTTTTGTAATTAATACATATGCAAACATTTTAACAATATCAATGCCGTCTTGCGTAAATAAATGGATTGGATTGGTATAAAAGTATCAAAAAAATCTTCAATAGACATCAGTTAACAAACGATCATCAGATCTACTCATCTCCTCATACAAAGAAAAAAATCTTTACAAAAATGAAATTCGCTGTGAGTAAAAGAAGCATTGTATTGTGCTATCTTTAGTTTTGTGAGTGACTAGTTTATTTATAAAATTTTATTATCTTTCTTCAGTTGGTTTTCGCCGCCATCCTGGCTGTCTCCGCCGCCCAATTCGACCAGTACGGTCGTTACAAGCCCGCTCCCGCCCCCAAACCCGCAGTGGTTGCCAGCCGTGTCGTCAACAGCGACAAAGCCGCCAACGTCCTCCGTTACGACAACAACATCAACCCTGACGGAAGCTACAGCTACGCGTATGTATCTATACATCCTCATATTTCCTCAATCAAAAACAAATCATTGAATTTTTTACATAGTTATTCTTGTGCTCTTCTAATTCCCTGTACTGTTGCAGTCTTGAAATCGACAACGGTATCGCTGCTGCGGCTCAAGGATCCCCCAAGGACTTCGGTGGAAACCCTCCTGTAGTCCCAGTTGTCTCCCAGGGATCTTTCTCATGGACCTCTCCTGAGGGCCAGCCCATCGTCATCACCTACGTCGCTGACGAGAACGGATACCAGCCCTCTGTAAGTACCATTCTCTGAATAATAATGCAGTGTAGTTGAAAAATTAAGGTTTATTGATGACAATCATAACTCTTTTAAAAACGGATGCGATCTAAATGCCAAAGCTTCCGTAGTTATCAGAAAAAAGTTACAAAACTCGTCTAAAAGTCCTAGGAGTGTCCATTGGTCACATTTGGAGGAACTGGTTAGAAACACATGATCGAAGGAGATTATTATGTGAGAAGAGGACCGGTTGATATGAATATTGAATATTACATGTCAATGTTGTAAGACTATTGCATAAAACTTTTATACTGATTCCTTAATTTGTATGCTTTCACTTGTGTAATTGACATTTGCTCTTTATATTTGCAGGGTGATGCTCTCCCCAAGGCCCCCGCAATCCCTGATGCTATCCTCAAGTCCCTCGAATTCATCGCCAAGGCCCAGAAGAAGTAAACGACAAATAAATTAGTTTAACCAATTTAAATCAACCACTAGACCACGACTTCATAACCTTTTGTAAATAGGTGCATTTCGTACTTCATTATCATTTAGATTATTACTGAATAGTCAAAACGGTGCCTATATCGCTCATAAGCAGGACGTGATATTTAAATTGGACATAAATTATTATTTATAATGTAATGGTTTAAAAATTAAGAACATGGCATTCCGAATGGTTTCCGTGATTAAAAAAATTTGAACTAATTTTCTGTTTTATTACCATACTTTTGATACCTACCTGTTAATCCTAATGTAAAATAATTACAGCATTATATGCTTAGTTGACAAAATATATAATATTTAATAATAAATCGAGTTCAAAGAAGAAATACCTCAGGATTGTACTACCTACTACTACTACTACAACATAATCACAAGTAATTTAAATAAAATAAAAACGATTTTGGTGCGAATGACAATTTTAGCCTAATGCATTTACATACAAATAGTAGATAATTATCTTCCTTAAAGATTTCAAATTATTAAGATTCACATGTTTTGTATTTATCAGAATAGTATCAAGAACATATATGAGATAAGCTAACTATCATACCTCAGATACATAAAGAAAAATTTACACTCGATCATTCTCATAATTCCCATAATTCGATTTTTCTTGTGCCTCCAGGTATTTATTTAAAAAAGTTTTATTAAAATGGGTGTCAACTTTAAAATTAACAATTCATTTTATTCATAGCAAAGCTAATGAAAACTTATTATAAACTATCTGCTTTTTAGACCTTGGTCTTTAAGAGACTACATAGCAATAGCAGCCATTGAATGCAGCAAAAATTCATAAAATCAAATCGACCCACAAAAATAATAATCGAAATAACACAGATAAAAACTATAAAAAAATCAATTGACCCTTGTTTGAACTTGCTTAAAAATCTAGTAATTGTAAGAAAAAAGCATTCACGGTATAACTGCGCATGCGCATATATGAATTTTAGTATTGCGAGTAACACTTCAGTAGTGTTACTAGAGTACTGTAGATGCACCATGCCGTTACGCTGCGTGCGAAGGTGCGACGGTTAAAAAACGTTACATAGTTCTTCATAAACATTTAAAAATATAACATTTTTAACGAATACCTATTATTCAGCCAATGACACATTATTCGCACTGTGCATAATTTCTGTAAACTTGATTTGGTTATATGGGATAGCCAGATGTTTGGTCATCTCCTATTTTAAATTTCACTCATATATAATCTGGTTAGATTTACATATTTATTTGTTTATTATCACAAGCACCTGTAACATTTTTATAATAAAAAGCTATATTAATAAATCAGTGCATTCTGTTGTATTATTAGTAGTTTTTTTTTAATTTCTATAATATGGACACAGATAAGGAAAAATAATATTATTGCCAATTCTATAATTTTCTACTTTTACAATTAATTTTCGAATATTATTTATTCTGTTTATCATTATTACCCATCCTGATAGATTTCTATCTTAATATTTATGAAGGTATGCTTATCTTTTTGCAATGTTCGTTAGAATTTTTAGGACTTCAAATCGAATCAATTTTAGTTTTTAGAAAAGTGGCACATTACAGATGCTACAAGATTTTTGAGATCCCCACATTTCACCAGGTCAGGCATGCAAATATTTAATATGCAAATATGTAAAGAAAGAAAGAAAAACCATTTATTTTGCTACGACACACAACAAGAATTTAGAAACACAAAAAAGCCTATGGTGCGTCGCACCGCAAAAGGCTGGAGCTCAGCTTAATACCGTGGACCGGGAATATAATATTTAATGAATGTCTTCATTTAATATTAACATAATACATTGTGTGGTCCTTTTATTCTCCAGTAATATACTTAGCAACACATTTAGCGATTCATTTTTATTAATAAAGATGATTCATGAAAATAAATTGTAATTTGTTAACAACGATGCAATTACCTTTTTATTGTGTACATTCCAATGCAGTCAGAATCTTTTAGTATAGTCTATATTAATTTTTTAATATATAAAGCTGAACAGCTTGTTTGTTTGAACGCGCTGATCTCCAAAACTACTGGCCTGCTTTGAATAATTATTTTTGTATTGGATAGTGCATTTATCGAGGAAGGCTATATAGCCTAAAACATGACGTTATGGTGAAAAGGAGCCGAGTACAGTAGATTAAACTGTGCGAGACTCGGAAATAGCTAGTTATTTACCTATATTAAGGAAAACAAAGGTGCAGGACGCAAATGCAAGTTCAATAGGGTAGTAATCAAAATTTTATTATATGGTCTGTTTGGTAGATTATTTTAAAACATTAGACACGTATATTTTCTTTTCTCGCAAAATTAAATACTTTCGCGACGACAAATTGATTTGAAATATCATGTGACGTTACGATTGCCTACGTTTTAAAGGGTAGCGTGACGTAACGACCTCCCATTCCTAAACTTAAGTCCGTTTTATTTAAGTATTGTTTTCTTATACGACAAAATAAAACAGTTATAATATGACTGTCTCGTTGGCTGAGTGGTCGCAAGTGCGACTGCCGGGCAAGGAGTCTCGCATTCGATTCCCGGGTCGGGCCGGGCCCAAAATTTCACTGGGTTTTAAAAAAAATCTCAGTACCATCACGGAGTCTGTAATTGTGTCGTGCGTATGGCAATAGCCTCACTACCTATTAAATGGGACTCATAACATAAATAGTGAAAAGTGAGTGTTACATTTTACAGTGGCATTAAGTGCCGTAATGTGCACCTCTGCATACCTCTTCGGGGATAAAAAGGCGTGATGTTATGTCATGTAGTTATAATATGTGCCTAATATTTTTAAATTAACTAATTACATTTTTAATTTTTATACATTGTCTACTATCCTTTTTCCTTCTTTGATTGAAAGAAAGAAAGAAAAAGCATTTATTTGACATTGGCATGCCTAACGATATTTGTATAATAAAGTCAAAGAATACATACATGGTATCATAAACAGTTTGAACATGTGAAATATAGCTTTCTAATTTGTTTGACAAAATATATTAAATTTAATCTTGATCAATATTCTGCCTTAATCCACCTAGTTCACGTATCTAATAAAACACGTTGCGTCGTTTGCGTATATAACTGACATTTCTGAATTTAATTGCCTACCATTACAAAAGATACTGAATTTGGAGCGATTTTTATGTTCTCATGTATATTCAATGTAGTTTCTATCCGTTTGATTCGTTTAAAATCCATAAATCACTGCGCAATGGCGTTTAAGATGATTTTATACTTGTACGAAATGTCGAGTATCATGCCCCAGGCGCTATACATCGATTATATTATTAAATTATTAAAATTGCCGCACGTTTAGTTATCAATTACCGTCATAATAAAATTAAATTCACAATATTTAATTGTTTGGTGATTCATGATGCCATTTTTCATTAAATTTGCATCCGCCAAAATGTAAATTATAATTTAAATTCGAACGAGCGGACGTGCATCAAAATTCATATAACATTTGTTTTGGAGTTTTGACGTTTGACGTTTAAGTGCGATAATAAAAACGGATTATTTATGAATTTTTACGCACAGTGCGTGTCCCGCAAAATTTACGTTCTACATTATGACATTTACTGTTTGTGTAAAATATCCTTAATTAACAATTGCTTTAGTACCATACACATATTTTCTTGGAAATCAACTTGAATTCACATTATATATAACTTAGGTCTGTGTACAACATAAATATCTAATATTTAATATTTCAGTTAGGCACATTTTACAGCTAACCAAATACACACACATATTGCGAAAAATAGGCCTCTTATTATTAGACACACTATATACTATATTGTATTGTAACTGTTACAGTTATTACATTACGCATGCCTTGAAGGCATAACCGCACGATTGTAACGTACTCGCGTACGATACTATATTTGTAAGCCGCAGTGTTAAAGTTCACAGTTTGTAACAAATTGAACTTCAATTTAAAATCAATTAAGCGATTTAATGAGTTTATATTATAGTAAATTAATCATTTAACAGTAAAATCAGATTATTTAATACATTTTTAAATTGTAGGAACATAAGGTGAAGGTATTAAAATATAACTCATGTTTTTCAGTGAATACTTACTATATAAGTCATTAAAATTTAATCGTAATGTATAGTTAATAATTAATCGAGTATTGTAATACACTGACTTATGGCTTAAGGTTTTGTTTAAGCTAATAGGTCTCATTTTCATCCACTATGGTGTATACGTATGTTCTTATTAAATTGGTTGTAAGTATTGCATACACTTATACGACTTAAAATAGTCTCGGTGCATTTCGAAACAGTTGATACTAAAGTCTGTTCTTTACTGCATTTTGTAAAGCGCACTTCTTAACGCTAGTTAAGATTCAATACTTAATACTAACTGTTATAGTTGTCATTAAATAATACTAGCACATAGTATTGCAATCGTTGTTTTGGAAGATCAAAAAAAAAATTCGTCGAGTTTTCATAAATCAACAACAAGTTACTAAACAATATAAGTAGGAAATCAGACCAAAATGGTTATTTAGAACGTCATAATATTAAAATAATTTTATCATCATCTTCTGTTGTATAAAAAAAATACAAATTAACCTGTAAACTCTGTTTCTAAAGTAAATTATTACCAGGAAACATAATATTTCTACGAACAATACCTTTTATGATCCACAGAACTTGACCTTAATATATTTATAGCGAGCAGGATAGATAGCCCAAGTGGTATTTTAAAACAATTTCTAGTCTCGCGTCAAATTATTTAAATGTTATTGCAGTTCGCCGCCTAAAGTGGGTGGTTCCTAGAGCGATATATAAGCCTGCGCGGATTTTTTACCCGCACACAAACTAGTTCAACGTAGCTAGGCAATCTTAGATATTCAATATGAAATTCGCAGTAAGTAAATCAAAATAAATATGAATTTATAAATATTAAAAGAGAATAATAAAATAAAAAAGTGATGTGAAAAAAGTGAAATTTCGGTGTTAGTAATTGATTTTTCGGAATTCAGGTGGTGATCTTGGCGTTTGTGGCTGCCGCGAGTGCGCAGTTCAATAACCCCTACAACCCCTTCGGGTACAACAACCAGCGGTACTACAAACCCACTCCTGCACCATTCCGCTACCGTCCCGTGTCCGTCACTCCCGCCTACAAACCCATTGCTTTCACCGCCTCCACCCCCTCCCCAGTGGTCGCCCCCGTGCCCGTTGCCAGGGTTGTCTCTGACGCTCGCAACGCCCAGACCCTGAAATACGGCAATGAAGTCAACCCTGATGGCAGTTACAACTACTTGTAAGTATACTCTACACCTAGACTGCTATTACACTTACCCTCGAGACTTCGTATTTACACAGTTTATTATTTTTAGCTACGAAACCGACAACGGTATCGCAGCCCAGGAACAGGGCACTCCCCGCAACTTCGGTGGAAACCCCCCTGTAGTCCCAAGTGTCGCCCAGGGATCTTTCTCATGGACCTCTCCTGAGGGTGAGCCCATCGTCATCACCTACGTCGCTGACGAGAACGGATACCAACCCTCTGTAAGTATCATGGGAATCGCCTTTATAACTTATCACTTTAGATTTATAACTGAAGAAGATATTTTTGATAATAATAATAATGAATGTAAATAATTTAATTACAGGGTAACGCCATCCCCACCGCTCCTCCAGTACCCCCCCAGATCGCTCGCGCCCTCGAGTACATCGCCCGCAGCGCACCCAAGAAATAAGCTACGTCTGAACGATAAAGCTTTTCCACAACAGTATAAAACGTACTTTATAAAATGAATAGTACAACTTAGAAGTATTGTCGAGTAAAATAAAATAAAATGTGATATATTTTAACAACAACTTTTATTTGCTATTTCTACGTAGTCGTTATGGTTTGTGATAACTGTTTGCGTGAAAATGTAAATAAAATATTGTAATCGTTATACAAATCTGTTTTCTCATTTTTAATAGACCAAACATTGATTGTGTGTAATCAAACAATGAGTTGTTGGATTTCACATTGAGTATACACTATCCTTTTTAAAAGGCACCGCACCTGTGACTCTTCTGGTGTTGCGGGTGTCCATGGGCGGCGCTGGTCGCTTACCATCAGGTGATCTGACTGCTCATTTGCAATCTATTCCATAAAAACAATTACGTAAATTGCCATCAATGTGTGATTAAAAATGGATCAGGAAGAATATATTATGTATTAAATTTACAATATCGTGTTATTGGACCAAGATTTTGGGTGGAGTCGCATAAGTCACTATGATTTTTACGCATATTTTGATGGCAATGTTAGTTTTTGTATATATTGGTATTGGTACAGTAGTGAGGGCAGATGAAGTTGTCAGTGTCTAGAGTAATGTACTTTCTTCATGGTTTGAATAATTTGATTACAATACGCAAGATTCTGTAACCTTTTAATCCGCTTTTGTAATATAGAATAGGTATTTTTTTTTGATAAAAATAAGTAATTCAAATAAAATTGGTCATCGAAATCGATTATTCAAAAATTTACATTAAATATCGTTTTAGATTATTTGTTGCTAAAGCTATTCATCATAATTTTATTCAATGCCACGACTTCATTCTGATCGTTATACAAATTGATAATAATTATCTCCTCATCAAAAGTAATGTTAGTGTTATCCTATATTATAGCAGTATTTTATACATGTACCTATGTAGATATGTTATTCCATATAGTTATTATGTTGTTCGATCAAGGGGTCTAGGGTTTAATTCCCGGGACAGGCAAAGCATTAAAATTTTCAGTAGTAACACGGAGTCTGGAGTTGTGCCCGATATTGGCAATAGGCTCACCCCCTATATCATGGGACTCATAACATAAATAGTGAAAAGTGTAGTGTTACATTGTACAATGGCATTAATTGTCGTAATGTGCACCTCTGCCTACCCCCTCGGGAATAAAGAGCGTCATGTTATGTTATGTTATTATGATGAAATATCACTAGTGGGTAATCATCATCTTGATTGGTCTGTAAATAGGTAAATTAACGGCGAATTACTCAAAGTTCGCAATCCTTCAATTTATTTAATCAGTTTTTTGCTGATCGATCTTAATTTACAAGGGCACATTAAGCTTAGCTTTAATCTAGGAATTCCTGATACAATCTATTGGATTAATATTTTTTGTCAAATATTTTTTTATATAAATAAAAGCAAGTGCATAACATTATCAATATTTACTTAAATATTTCGAAAAGATTTTTCCAAATTGCTTAATATATTTCGTTGTGTGAAAATGATCTATTATTATCAATATTTATTGATGTATTTCAAGTAATGTTTACATTATTTCTAACACCACAATTGTAAGACATCTTGTTTGTTTAACTATTTCTGTAGATAATGTAGTTAAGTGGCAATTAAATTTACTTAACATCCTCCAAAGTGATTGTAAACAAGAGATAGAGGCCTTATGTTTACATTATTCTCAAGATTATCTGTCTACAAAGCTAGAACATTACTTCATTTACTTTATTAGCTCATTGGATATCGTAAAACAATTATTTTGTTTATCAATGGCGCCTAAAATCTCTTTTTGGGAATAAGATTAGCCCCTAAACACTTTTATTTGCATACGAAACGTTTATGGTTAGAAACCGACCATTTAGCTGCTAATGAGGTAATAAATCGACAGAGAATCGATCTGATTGTCTCTGATCGCTGACCGACGCCCGTCCTTCGATTTTATAGTAGTAGATGTAACGTCACGTCAGGCGATAACTGAAGGCTAGTAAGCCCACACGGTTGCGCGGTGCCATCCATCTAACGTTACACAATAACTAAGAATCTTCATATTGAACAGGTTCCAAGAGATTTATCTCTGTTGCGACCTCAGAGAATTCGTTAAACAGATATTTGTAAGCTTTTTAAATCAACGCTCTTGTTTATTGACTCACTGCGAATCGATGAACTTTATTAACCTGTAATTTACATTCTGCATGTCTCAAATGATTGCTTGTTTCGAACATTGGACGAAATTTATGTTTTTCAAAGGCAATTTTTATTGATTGTGGCAATGTATATTATAATTATTTGGGGAAAAATACGTGGTTACCAAACCAAACTCAAATTGTAATATAAATCACAATATTAAATACAAGTTCGCTTCCGTTTATACAGATTAATGAATACATTTGTAAGAAAAATACATATTATTTACGTAAACTGGACTAAATTTTATGTAAATGACAAGATTAAAATATCAATGTCAAATGCCCTTCTTCACAGATTAATGTATCAAAGCGGCTTTGTGCGGTAGACTAATGACAAAAACAGCTAAATGTGGCATCAGAACATTTACGTTATAAATGTATGGAATGTTAATTTGACACGTTAGAGCAAAATGATAGATCTCTTTTGTTTGTTTTCGTAAGAAGTAAAGGTTTAGGAGGTTAAATGTGAATAATAATCGTTTGTTAGACAAAGGCTTGGCGTGTGATGCGCAGGTGATCTTCACCTCTCGATGTAGCTCTATCGTGATACTATGCCGTCCGTTCGGGCTCGACCTTAGCATTTGGTATAACGCACTTACCAGTTAATATATGATACAAGTAGTTTTCTACAATGTTGCTTGTTTTATTACTTTACTACACATAAGACAATGTAGATGTTTCAATTGGATATGTTAGACGTTTATTGAATGTTGCAATCGTTTGAAACTGTATGTACCTATCAAGTCATTCGTTGCGAACACTGAAAATATAGGCTTATTTTTCAACAAGTTCCATCTTTATCAAGAGCGATTTTAATTTGCTACTGGAATTTTAAAATGCAGGAATAGTACGAGATCTTGAGATTGATATTACAACCTTATATTTTATTTTAAAACCATAGAGTGATGTACATACATACAGACACTTCACACTCGTTTGCCTATATTGTACGTCTTGTACCAATGGATTTAATAGTGCACAGTCGCTTCATGATTAATGCGGACTCGCGTGCCCTATACGAGTACCTTCGCCCAGGACGCATTTGTCGTTTATTATACTTACCATTTTGTTCTATCGCAATGAATAGAATTATTAAAAAATACATGGAGAGCATATCCGTTTGAAGAATACTCATTTTTGTCATCACCCTTCTTTTTCTGACAGTTAGAAGTGTTTACTAAGGCACTACTAGCTGGCTTCATAAAGGCAGAAAAGGCTTCTGACAGGCTGTCTACGAATATGCATAGCGGCCCATAATCTAAAAGTGAACTGTTGCGAACCGCTGATAATGAAGTAGAAAAAAATTGGTCCATGAAATTAGTTATGTATGTATGTAAACTTTGGTCTAAAACCTTTTAAGATAATATAGTATACAAGTATCATCCTATCCTTCAAAGAATCTACATTGTAAAACTTCTTGTTCAATTTATAATAATAAAATTATGTATCATCATAATACAAAATACATTATTGATACCTTGTATATGTCAATAATAATATTTGAACGTCAGACTACACTGTAGTTTTTATAATGACGTGATGTTTTCGTTATTTGTCTGTCTTCTGATTGAATGAATAATCTATTTTGACCTATTGAAAGTTTCTATTATATTATTACTAATAGCTATATAAACACGCGTATAAAAACTGATCAGAACATCTGGCAAACTAAAATGTAATCTGTATCGGATCTTATACATAGAACGTACCTAAATTTTGCATGCGATTTTTTATTTACACCTAATCTATATCTTTATTTGAAAAGTTCATGGCAAAATAGACTAGATGGCTACCCACGCTTTTATAAATTTATGTAAGTAACTTGGCACTTGGGTGCGGCTAAAGATGGCACAGCTCGTCGTGTTGGGAAACTCTTAATCTTATCAACATACTAGCTGTTGCCCGCGACTTCGTCCGCGTAGATTAATGACTTCTGACAGAATTAACCAGAATCAATTCAGTGCCCAAGTAAGATTTACCTATTTTGAAATGATTTATCGTAGTTTCAATAAATAAATAATCATTACCAGTACAGTGCCCGATCACGTAAGGTTTGAGTAATAAAAACTATTCTATCGACTATTGTACCGAATCTCTCTAGAATAAGTTCAGTGGTTAAGAGTTAGAGAGCCCTGGGGCATTGACGCATAGTTCCCGTTCTCGTGAGACATCTGTGAAAAAACTATCATACGTTACCCAGGTCCTAAATCATCGTTTTACCGAATGTAATTCAAAAAAATTCAATGATTCTAAATTCAACGGCTAAGAAGATTTATACAAACTCTCATTCCCTATTTTATCCCCTTAGGGGTGGAATTTATCAAAATCCTTTCTAAAGAGATACCTATGTCATAGTAACTTTATGCATGCAAAGTCTCAGCCCGATCAATTTAAAACTGGCAAAGTATCATACAAACTTTCACCCCCTATTTGACCCACTTTGGGGTGAGAGTGTTCAAAAACCTTTCTAAAGGGACGTTTACGTCATAACATCTATCTGCATGCCAAATTTCAACCCGATCGTGTAAAACTGACAAAGTCATACAAACTTTCATCCCCTATTTTACCCCCTTGGGGGTGGAAATTATCAAAATCCTTTCAAAGCGGATGCTTACGCCATAACATCTATCTGCATGCCAAATTTTAACCCGATCGGTTTAAAACTGACAAAGTTTCATACAAACTTTCATCCCCTGTTTTACCCTCTTGGGGGTGGAAATTATCAAAATCCTTTCACATCGGATGCTTACGTCATAACATCTATCTGCATGCCAAATTTCAACCCGATCAGTTAAAAACTGACAAAGTTTCATACAAACTTTCATCCCCTTTTTACCCCCTTGGGGGTGGAAATTA